CTTGCACTCCGCCGAGAAGACCTAACAGGGCTTCTGCTTGGGCTCCTTCCTGAAGGCCTAACCCTAGTAGGAACCCTGCCCGAACTTTTGCTTATACTCCTCCGCGAAGACCTAACAGGACTTCTGCTTGGGCTCCTTCGAGAAGGCCTAACAGGGCTTCTACTTGGAAGAGTTGCTGCTGTCTGAAATTTGCTTCCAGCTTCTGCATTTTTTATTGCAGCAACCACCACAAAAATTGGATCTTTGATGTCATGCTGCTGCTGCTCACCAGTGCATTTAATCCCATTGTGTTCTCTCTCTCTATATATGTCCAATGTCTTCTTTGTTTACCACAATCACAATCAAATCAATTAGCATGTTTTCTCCTCTGTTTTGCAATCATAAATCACCAGTTTAACATCCCATTGAACAAAAAAAAATGGCATTAATCCTCCAATCTTCAAGTTTCTTAAATTCTTGCAGTACTTCTGTTCCCTCAACATCATCTTGTAGTTGCAAAAGAGGATTGATTAGACCGAATATTAATATCCCAAATAATCATATATTTAATATTTGCCTTCCCAGTAGGAGAAGAAGTGCATTCTATCCCATTGTTTCCTTCAGCAGAACCCTGCCTCCTCTTTCGTGGAGGGCGCTCATTAGAACCTCATTCATTATCTGGGCAGCTCTTTACTATCCTTTGTCTAACATCATAGGTGCGTAGAATCACTTCAAATGTTCTTACATCTAAACAAAGCAAAAACACTTGCCACATGAGAGTCTGTAGTTTTTATATAGCAGTTTTCTTGACTGAATTGAGATAAAGTCTCCAGGAAAAATAACTTACCAGTAAAATGTGATTTGAGTGCTTCACAAGAGCGTTGTACTTGCTCAATGCATGGAGAAAAGGAGCACAATACCCCATCTGGTTTCAACATTTTTCCAGCAGAAGGAATGACTTGATATGTTTGTTTGATTCATGATTTAGTAGTTTGTGTAGTTTCTGTTAGTTTTCATCATGTTATGTTTCCAAAGAGGCGAGGAGACTTGTTCTCTTTTGTCTCTATTTGTGAATAATAAAGTTCGAATTATGGTTTAAATGTTTATTCAACTCCCTTTTTCTATGCAATCAATGAAAAGACTATATCTCAAACTTTGGTCTTAAGCTGTTAGATATGATATCTTGTGTAGTAGTTACAACTTTGATATCTGCTATTGCGCATTTGATCTCAAACGTGATGATCCAAATATTCTTCTCTCAACAATATTTTTCAAGCAATTTTGGGTGAAGAATGCTCAAAAGGCTGATTTGATATGTTTGCTTGTATGATATGCATTTACAGATATACTAAAATACTTCATAGATGAGACTATACATACTTTTGGGACATTAATGAAGCAGATTCTTGCAATTTTGCTTGTGTCCCTTTCTGGTTATGGACTTTTAGTTTTATAACCTCGCAAACTATTATCAGCTTTGTTGTTTGGCAACATTTACTTCCTATTGACACAGTTATTTTATAATTTCAGGTCATACAGTCTGATGTTCGATAATTTAGCGGGTGGAAGATTTCAATATGACGAAGAGTTTCAGAGATTATTTGAAGATTGTTATTCGTTAAGATTAGTTATATAATGACATTAGCTATTTACTTCAAACAATATGAGTTATTTTTTTAAGGTTTTGTGATATTAATATTTTGGATTAGTACTTCCTTTTGTTTGTTAAGATTTAACGAGATATACTATAGTTTTATGAATTAATATCAATATGTTTTGTTATTTGCATTATTTTTTGGTCGAATGTAGTAGCTATTATTAATGGTGGCTAAACTTACCGTTATAGCTTGTGAATTTTAGTGCCAATTTAACAGGATTAAGACGTTTATACAGGGATATTGTAACCATTATATTGCTATTATAGATGATTTTTAGTGGCAATTTAATTGACTTTTCTATCCATTAAAATGGACGCTAAAGGGGAATACTAATACGTTTTTAGAAGAGATATTGTTGCCACTTTAATTCCCACAAAACAATTACCGCTAAATGTATGGACTTTTAGCGACAAATATTTTGAATTTAGCGGCTATAAAAATGGACGTTAAAGGAGCATTATTAGTCGTTTTTAGAATGGGTTTAGCAGCCATAATAATTGTCGCAAACAATTGCCGTTAAAGCAGATGAGTTTTAGTGGCAATAAGTCATACCTTTTACCAGCTTTTGGCAGAAATGCCGCTAAAGGCTTTACCGACCCTGGCATCACCGGCTAAAGATCAATTGCCGGTAAATGATAAAGCGGCTATTGTTATTACCGTCAATGCTATTTTTTATTTCCGCCAAAGACTTCTTTTGTAGTAGTGTGCACCCCAAGATGAGGTACTGGGCCTAATGAAACCTTTCTCCAACAAATCTTTTAACTGCTCCTTCAACTTCTTCAATTCAGCAGGTGCCGTTCTATGCAGAGGGATGGATATTGGTTGAGTTCCCGGAAGCAAATCGATGCTAAACCAATCTCTTGCTCTGGAGGAATACCTGGAAGATCATCTAGAAACACATCTGCGTACTCTTTGACTACCTGAATAGACTGAAGTGTAGGTATCTTAGCATCTGCATCTCTAACTCGCACAATATGATAAATTCATTATTTTGCGATCATTTTCCCCGCCTTCAGATAGGAAATAAACCTACCTCTAGGTGTCGCTGTATTACCTACCCATTCAAGGACTGGATCACCCGAAAAATGAAATTTGGCTGCCTTTTCTTGGCAATCAATTGTGGCATAGCAAGCTGCCAACCAGTCCATGCCCATGATAGCATCAAATCCATCATCTCTAGCTCAACTAGGTCGGTTGAGGTCTGACGACTACAAACTGTCACCGTACAACCTCGATAAAACCATCTACTCGGTTCTCCGACTGGTGTAGATACCGCAAAAGGATCACTTAGTATTTCAGGCACTATACCAAACTTCCCCGCGACAAATGGGGTAATATACGATAAAGTAGATCTTGGATCTATCAAGGCATAAGCATCGTGAGAGAAAATGGTCAATATACCTATCACAACGTCTGGTGAAGACTCATGGTCTTGTCGACCCGCTAAGCATAGATACGGTTCTGATTACCACCTGAACTGGAACCTCTACCTCTACCTCGACCTCTACCAGCCGAAGACCGAGGCTCGCGCCTTGGGGATGCACGGACATAGATGATCCTATTGTTGAACTCGTTGGTTGTGCCATACCCGCAGAATCTCTATTTAGACAATCTCACATCATATGTCCCGGACTCCCACATGTATAACAAGCGTCGAAACCTGCTCGGCATTGGCCCAAGTGTCCTTTACCACAGATGTCACACCATGGCAGAAATGACCATGTCTGCCCTAAACCTCGTTGTCGCTGCAAACCCGACGCTCGTGAGCTCTCACCTGGTCCTGAATGAGTATAGCGGTCATACCTGTAACCCTGTAACTGAGGTGCGGAGGCCTAGGTGGCCGTCTGAAGTACTGGGGCCTATTACTACCCTGAGACTGCTCCTGAGATATCCATACTATCCTAC